TAATAGCCCCGTAATACTGGGCCTAGATCTAAACTAGATCATAATAAATCGACGCGGCGCCGATGCGGTTACCCCTAGCAACGAGAACGCACCTTTTCCGCAGACGATCTCGCTCTGTTCCTTGTCGTACTTGTACATCACGTGCAGCTGCCCCTGGCGGAGCATCAACGTCAGCGAGTAGTCGGGCACGTCGCCAGGGGGCGCCGCGAACCGCTCGTACATCAGCAGCGCCGTCGGCAGCAGCGACCGGAAACGGAAGTAGTACAGCCGGTGGCTGACGGTCGCCCAGTCGGGCGCGTACTGCGCGTGCGAGCCGCGATGCAGAAAGCTGACCGTTGTCGCCATCTGGCGGGGCTCCGGCATGAGACCATCGGCATCCACAGGTGGCGCCTCCTGTCCCCCATCCGGGACGTCGGCTAGGCGAGGTGCAGGAACGTCGGGTAGCGGATCGGTAAGCTCGATGGTGGGCAGATCCTTCGGTAAATCGGGGATGGAATCATCTTCCAGTAACTCGGGCAGTTTCTCTTCCAGAGCGCCCTCCAACTCCGGGAGGATCTCTATCGCTGCGGCGACATCTTGTAGACTGTCGACATTCTCTGCGTCCGCCTCATCATCGCCTCTCAGCGGACTGCAGAGGAGGCAGACTAGCAGAGCTAGAGTGGCGAGCAGCTTCATAACCTGTGCGCGATCATAGAAACACAGCAGTCAGTGGGGCAGTCTATCGAGGCTTAATATTCATATTCGGCTCATATATATATATATATATTATATATATATATATATATATATATATATATATATATAAACAAAGTCAAATTATAGAATGTGTTTGAAATTTAAGTTTGTGTGTGGCTTTACTTCTATATATATATACCTAGTGCATGAATGTATCGGAGAATTTGCGAGAGAACACCAGAGCATTCATGGGAGCACACAATAAAATTATCGAGATAATGCGAGAGTATTCGCGGTAAAACGCGAAAGCATTTACGGCAAAACACGATATAATATACCGCGCGGGAAAACACGAGAGCCGACAAGACAGATTGAGAGAACGAGGTGAGATGTTCACGCACACGTCGTCGCTGACAATCTTGCTAAACGTGTGGTTCATCGCGTGGTCGCCGAAGTTCAGGTGAATGCAAAACCGGCCGTCCGTGAGAACGCCCGTGATGTGGTTCTTTACAGGTTCCTTCCCGGCTCCGTGGAACAGTAGCATGTTCATCGTTTCCTTCGTCTGGAAGGAACATGGTCAATAATCATTTACACACACCCGCACACACACTCACGCATGTATGCGCGCACACACACACACACACACACACACACACACACACACACACACACACACACACACACACACACACACACACACACACACACACACACACACACGACACACACACGACAC